CCTGAAAAATTACAATTCTTTCGTTGTTCAAGTACATCTTGTTTCAGTTTAACTATGTTTGCTATTACTCCTCTCATAAATTTATATCAGCAGTTTAACGTATTGATATGGTTGTTATATTGTAGGTAACTGGTGATCGTATGGAGACCATGGTGGCCCAGGCCAGAGAGGTTCAGCAAATCATCCAGGGGCCAGATGCTATGAGGTATGAAGATGCTTTGAGTATAAAAGATATGCTTTCACTACCTGTATTCTTTAGAGCGGCTGAACAGATGAAAAGAAATGAGGAAAAATTGACTGAAACTGAAGCAGCTTTGAAACAAGCCAGAGCTGACCTAACGAAGGAGTTAGAGCATAAGAAGAAAGCTGAACAACTTCGTTTAGCTGAGTCGTCTAAGTTGAAGGAGGAGACTGCAAAATCAGAACAATTGACAGCTCAGCTGAAAGAAGCAAGAAATAATTTGAAGAAGCTGGAGAAGAAAAACAAACAGGACGAGTGAGTTTCTCTCATAGCGTGATATAGTGGTTTCTTTCGGTAATCCTCCATTTGTCATGATGTAGACCTTCAGGCTTTTTTGGTTCAAAAATTGGCGCACTATGATTTTCAAATCAAACAACAAAACTAGCAAAAAAGAATTCACCTTTTAGGACACGTATAGGTACCCTTGAAGCTGAGAAGTTTGACTTGGAAGATAAGGTGAAAGCTCTTAAAAAGGAACTAGACCTAATCAAGAAAAAGGCTGCAGAAGATAGATCAAAGGCTAAGAAGGAAAAGGTAAATAATCGGCTGAGTAGTACATCATGCACATTTCCATGTTTTTAGGAGCGAGATGCTGAGCAAGTGCGCCGCCTCGAAAGTGAGGCTCTAGAACGAGAAGCTGAACGTGATCGCGAAAGACAGCAGCATGACGATTTTAGGAGGGATGTGAAAAATCGTGAGCAAAAATGGGAGAAGGTAGTAGCTTTTTGTTTTTTTTCTTCTGAATTCTTTGAATGAACTTTCGCGCGTTTCGAAATGAATTGCATGGCTCGTTTCGTTCAAGTGAGGCGTCGATGCTGTTGTTTTTCCAAACCTACCGACTATCAGAATTTCCGAAAACAGTTTTTTGAAATGTCTTTAAAATGCTTCTCTTTGCGCTGCATTTTTGCATAAGATTTTGTTTAATATAATGTAATTGTTCAGACGAGTTTTTATCGTCGAATTTAACGTTTATCTTACAACTGAAAGCTGATATTCAGAATCTGAAAAATGACTTTTATTTGTTTTTTTTTTTGC